CCAGTTTAGTCTCATCTGTATACTGGGTAATCGTTGGATTAATTCAAAACAACTGTTGCACATTCTGAAAAGGCCATACTCAACAATAGGATGGCATGGTAAACAAGGCAAGGCACCCACACCACAAGCATCTTTTGGGTGTGGCAATCTAGCAGCCACACAACGCCATAAGATGCCTGTGGTCCGGCCCACTCCCTAGTGCAACCACACTGCTCAACTCCCCTCCACTCCACTGCCAACTCATCCGCCCTACATATTGACGCCGAAGAGCGCGCCGAGCCAAGTAGCGAGCTGCGAGAGTAAAGAGCGGGTGCTGGAAGTCGGGGCAGTGGCGCATGAGAAGTCCACGTAGAGGCCAGCACTGAGATAGAAACGGACAGAATGGGTGAGAACGAGTAAGGCAGAGGTCAAAGGGGGTATGTGAGAGACGGAGAGGGAGGGACAGGGGAATCAACACCATCATGGAAGAGTGCAGTGCAGTGGTGGTTGGGTGCATGCAGAGGTGCCAGCGCTGCAGAGAGGGGCAAAGATGCGACGAAACACCCACTCACTCGTGCTGCCGTGCTTTGAGGCGACTTAAGACTAGTGCTGCAGCGCTGCCGAGCTGCAGAGGGGCACACTCACTCAGGCGTTCCGTGACTGTTCACGCCACTTCGCTTGCTGCTGCCGTGCTTTGAGGCGTCTCAGACCAGTGCTGCGCACTGCAGAGCTGCTGAGGGGCACATTCACTCGTCCTGCGACACTTCACGCCACTCACTCGTTGCTGCCGCGGGGCAGATAGGGCAGATGGTACACTCACTCGCTGCTGCCATGGAAGGCGAGGGTTTGGGAGTTGGAGTTGGAGTGCGCCCAGATGAGACGGTTTGCGCCACTCATCTTCATACGTATGGACCCCGTGTTGTCTGTGCGCGAGAACCTGATTGGTCCAGGGGGGACAGGAAACACTCGAGCGTTTGGTCGACCGGAATATGCAAGCGAACACAGAGGCGTGAGAGGAAGGCAGGAAGTGCCAATCGCGAAGTGGAGGAAAAGACACACATCAGAAACTTACTGGATAACCGTGGAGCCCTTAGCAGATTTTACGGTCCCTGAGCTGGCGCCAATGTCACGAGCCGGCAGTAGCGGGACATCCAGTAGCCCGTGATCTTGTACGCGCTCACGATGCCGCCCGCCCGGTTGCCGATGATGGCGTCAGAGGCGCCATGGCGCCCAGTGTTGGACCAGCGAGCGCGAACCAGCTGTTGGTGATGCCGCTGCTGGGCTTCAGCTCGACTGCATGTCCAGCTGCGTGGGGGACGCCTTCTTCCAGTGCAGCAGCACTCTGCAGAGGGGAGAGTGGCGTGGGGGGTTGAGGGAACGTTGGGGGTTTAGGGAAGGAAGAGGGATGCGATGAGCGCTGCTGGGCTTCAGCTCGACCGTCATGTCCAGCTGCGTGGGGGAGGCGCGCTTCCAGAGCAGAAGCACGCTGGCGGGGAGGAGGGAAAGGAAGGGAGGGGAAGGGGAGTGGGGGTGCGAAGAGGGAAGGGAAAGGGAAGGAGGAGGAGGAATGAGCCCTGGCCGCATAGGTCGGCGAAACCAGATCGAGAAAGAAAGAAAAGTGAAAACATAAATTGGAGTGAAGAGATACACCAGCAGACAGAGGAGATTCTTGAGTCGACTCAAAAATCGACTCATTACACCAGCGGACAGAGGGGTGCGGTGGCTGATGACGAAGGGCGGGCGGAGAGGAGCTAGTGGTGTCAATCAAAATCAAGGCTCTGCATACCCGGACTTGAGCTGTGCTTGGAAGGAGTAACCCAAGAGAGTGGAGTTTTGAGGCTCCTTAAAACCAGACTTCGATCACTCAGAATGCCGAGGCGCCTCAAAACTAGGTGGGCAGCGAACTGCGTACCCGGGCTTGAGCTGAGTTTGGAAGGAGTAGCCGCAGAGAGTGGACGCGGGGCACGCCGTGCCGCTCACGCCCGTGTTGCCCGTGCACGTCCCCGGTCCTGAGCCCGTGCCCCCGCCGGACCCCGAGCCTGATCCCGAGGCTGTGCCGTTGCAAGACAAGTCAACAGTCTTGGCTCCTCTGGAGGGTTCAGATCAGGTCGAGAGGAGAGGAGAGGAGAATGAACGTTAAGGTAAGAGAATGAGGATAAGGGCAGAGAGCGAGGAGCGGACGGAAGAGGAGGAGAATATGGGACGACTTTTGAGGCGCCTCAAAAGAAGAGGAGGAGAATATGGGACGACTTTTGAGGCGCCTCAAAAGAAGAGGAGGAGAATATGGGACGACTTTTGAGGCGCCTCAAAAGAAGAGGAGGAGAATATGGGACGGGCCCAAGGAAGAAGCGGCCTTAGTTGAGAGGTCCCAAGGAGAATGAGGATAAGGGACGAGAATGGGGTCGAAGGACGAGACCCTTCGACGAATAAGCCCACACAAGCTTGTCGCCAGGTTACTGGGTTACCAGGTCCCATGGTGGCTGTGATCTCGGAGCGATCCCCTGGACGAGAAGCGCACACGAGCTTGTTACCACGTTACTGCAAGGGAGCCTTACCTGTGCGAGCTCCCATGGTTGGCGAGTGTCTTGGAGCCGCCAGCCGAGTACGCCCACACGAGCTTGTTGCTCCCCCCAACCTTCACCGGCACGAGCCCGCTCCCCGCCGCGCGCGTAAACTTCACTATCGTGCCGCCGCCCGCCGCCGCCGCCGCCGCTACGCTCGCCTTGGTGATCGCGAAGCGCGTCGTGGGGACGACGCTCGAGTAGCTCGATATCGCGTATGCGCCCACGCCGCTCCCCGTGGCGAGGTTTCCGACGACCGCGTCGGAGTTGAACATGCCGCCGCTGCTCCACGCCACGGAGATCCACCCGCTCGCCGCGCCGCTTGTTGACTTGGCCTCCAGCGCCAGGTCGATCGTTGACCCTGTTGACTTCTTCCAGTGGAGGATGAGTCTGGGGGAGGGGAGAACGGCGGAATTTGGGACAGCTCAGAGCTCTTCGACTTGGCCTCGAGGGCCGGGTCGATCGTTGACTCCCCGTTGACTTCTTCCAGTGGAGCCGCACGAGCCTGGGGAAGGGAGACCGAGGGATGATACGCGGTGGTGGAATTCAGGACAGACTCTGTCTGTCTCGGAGGCATAAGTATTCTAAACCCTTTTCGGTAGGTCAAGCGCCTGTTTCGGAGCGGCTTTTGAGTCTGTCCCGGTACAAGACTCAAAAGCCAATTCGGGACAGAGGCAGAGATACCAGCCCTTTCGCTAGGACAAGCGCCTCTTTCGGAGCGCCTCTTTTTCAAAGAGCGTAGAACTCACTTTCTGCGCGAGAGTTGCACAGAGCTCTCTTGATCGAATCTTCTCGAGACTATCACCCCCGAAATGCTCACCCTCTTCCCGAGAGGTCGACGGAGCTTTTTTTGAGTCGACTAAAAAATCAACTCACCCTTTTCCCGAGAGGTCGACGGAGCTTTCTTTGAGTCGACTCAAAAATCAACTCACCCTTTTCCTGAGAGGTCGACGGAGCTCGTGTATCCCGCGAGCGTCGACGCCTGGCACGTGGCCGCCACGGTGGCGGCACGCGGCGTCACTGCCAGCGGCGCTACAGCGGAGGCTGTTCGGGCTGTAGCACTGCTAGGCCCCGCAGAGGCGACCCCGCCTGTAGCAGCGGCGGAGGCGGCGGCAGCAGGAGCCGCCTGAGGCTTGCTGGAGAGATTCACTAAGCGCCAGCGCTTTAATCTGTTGAGGAGGCCTTGGGATCTACGGGAGGAAAGCGACGGCTGAGCGGCGCTCGCGGCGGCGGCGGCGGGTGGGGTTTGGGCGGCGTACGCTGGCGCTGCTAGTAGTGAGGAAGCGAGCAATGCGGCGAAGAGGAGGAGCGTGACGCTGAGGTTTCTGAGTGGTTGAAGCGTCCGCGCAGCCATGGCGTAGGGAAAAATGGAAGGTGTGGATGGGTGGGGATGGGTGGAGGAGGGTGGTGGACGGCGGCGGCGATGGAGTGGGAGAGAAGGTTGTCCTCGTGGTGAAGGCTGCGGAGTCTTGCTGAGGGTTGGTTTCGGCCAGAAGAACATATGTATGATAAGAGGAGGACGAGGAGGAAGGGTTGGCTGGCGGTGGCGGTGGGTGAGAGTCACGTATCTTTGGCGATGGGGGAAGGGGAGAGGGCGAAAGCGAGGCAGGGAAAAAGCGAAGGGAGGGTGAAGGTGATAAGGGCGTGTCCCGCGCGTAGGTTTGATTGCGGTTCGGTGAGATGCTCTTTCAAAAGGCTCTCATAACAATCTGCTACGGTTGGGTACGGTAATGAGCCGGAAACATATACGCGCAAAACACGCCCAAAGTGGCGGCACAACAGACAAGCGGTGCCCCCTATCGAGTGCGACTCGCGAGCGATTCGCGAATGCGCTTGAGCGGCTGGGTTCAAGGTTCCTGGTAGTTTCCCGTTTGGTCGGTCACCAATCAGCGTGCTTCGCTGACAGCCATCGACGCGGAAGGCCTACAGCATTGCTATTTACTGTTGCGACGGATTCTGACGACACGTGGTAACTCGCTGTTGTGTCATCGTCAAGGCCGAAAGTTACGCACCTCATTGTCCAGCTCAAGCTCGCTGCTGTAAGGAAGCGCTGGCGTGGCGAGGCTACCGAACCGACAAGTATGTGCCTCACTGTAACCTTCCACGCTTTTCCTGAGCCTCGTCGCGTTGCGCTGTTAGACGAGGTTCGGGAAGCTGTCGTTGGCGGACTGACTAGTCTGCGCTGGTCTGTAGATCCGGGAAAGCGAGGCTGGGCAGGAAGCCAGGGAATTATCCTCGATACAAAGATGTTTCTAGTGCACTTCGCTTCAAACATAACTCACCGGAAAGGATCTCTCTATGCTATTTCCATTAAGGAGCAACACATCCACTACCAAAATCTAAATTTGTGACCAAGTGAATACACTTCCTAGAGTTGCCCAGAGCCCCCCAGCAACGTGTGTGTTTCAGCGTGAAGACTGGGCCCCCTCCCCCCCTTCCCCCTCCCCCCCCCCCCTCTTTGTTGTACAGCAGATTCTCTATGTTTCATGGGCAACCTTGCTCCTTATTTATGCACAATAAGCCAACACATTGTATCACGCTGAGCAGATACTATACTTCGTCAAAGGGGATGCAGATGTGCCTTGGTTGGAGGACTCAGCTCAACAGCACTGCAATTTGGGCTCAGAGGAGCCCCGGAATGCAGGATGGCATTCAGCTCATTCTGAATGCCATTAAGAAAATGGCGAGTTGAGCCGAGCTGTGCTCTAGCTGAGCCACTTGGGTGGGAAAAGCGACGGACCCGTCGATCACTAAGGCATCAAGCCAGCATGAAGGAGGAGCAGCACGCACTTGAGTCGACGCAGGGTTGGTTAGGTTGCCTAGCCCGCGGGTGCAAGATATCTGGACGCTGCAACTGTGAGACGCAGTCCCTTGTATCCACTTGCAAAGGCGCACCAGCACATGAACCCTAAGCCTTGGGAGGGAGCCCACACCCAAGTTAGGTTGCCTTCCCTGCACCATCTGCAGGATGCCTGGACGCTGCAACTGCCTGCTCCAGCCGAGCCACCTGCAGCAGCAACAGAATCAGGGGGGCCAGCAGCAACAAGAACAGCAACAGCAGCCGCTCTTAGCAACAAAGGGTAAGCTAGGTTGTCTTGTGTGCCTCTGCAGGATGCCTGGACGCTGCAACTGCCTGCTCCAGCCGAGCCACCTGCATGGGAAAAAACGAAAGAGGTCACGTCCTGTTGTGAGGCTGTGAGGGTTGTGATCGATGCTGGTGATGTGATGTGCAGTGGGTCACATGACATCATGCCCAATGCTGGGATGTTCTTGACTTGCATTGGCCATGGAGGCTTAACAGGGTCAGCAGCGCCTTCATTCCGCACAAATAATGCTTTTATGAGCTCTCAGCTCTTCATCTCCGTGCAGATTTGGCCATTCCAGAATGTTTCGCTCCGCCTCACTGCGTGAGCGAAACAGAATGAATGTCTTGGCAATGCGCTCAGCCAGTCAGAATGCTCACCCTTCCCCTGAGCTACCCACCTTGCTGTAAGCTACGCACCGTGCTGTGAGCTACGCAACTTGTTTTGAGCTACGCACCTTGCTTTGAGCTACGTACCTTGCTTTGAGCTATGCACCTTGCTGTGAGCTACGCACCTTGCTGTGAGCTACGCACCTTGCTGTGAGCTACGCACCTTGCTGTGAGCTACGCACCTTGCTTTGAGCTACGCACCTTGCTTTGAGCCATACACCTTGCCCTGAGCCACGCACTTTGTCCTGAGCCACGCACCTTGGCCATAAGTTGAGCCACCTCCGCCTCGTGCTGCCGCTTCATCTCCAGGAATCTCACCAGAGCCGCTTCCATCCATGCCTTCTCCGCCCTCAGCTGTAGCATGAGTCAACACGAGTCAACACAAGTCAACACAAGTCAACACAAGTCAACAAAGTCGACTCCCGCCCGCAAGGTCAGCAAAAGACGCACAAATGGCATTGCTGGCGGGTTCTTGTGCAAGCCAAAGCTTCTGCTCTCACCTGCTGCACCACCAGTGTCTTGTGCTGCTCCTCTGCCAGCTGCCGCTGCAGCTCCATGTAGTCCTGATGGGGGGGGGGGGGGAGGGGGTTTGAGAGGGATGTAGAGGGGTGAAGCGCGGTGGAGAGAGATGTGAAGGGAAGGAGGAGAAGGATCTTGTGCTGCTCTTCTGCCAGCAGCCGCTGCAGCTCCATGGAGTCCTGGGGAGGGGGGGAACGGAGAGGGGTGGAGGGAGGGATGGAGAGAGATGGAGAGAGATGGAGAGAGATATAAAGGGACGGAGGAAGGTTCTTGTGCTGCTCCTCTGCAAGCTGCCGCTGCAGTTCCCTCACCATCTCTCTCCCCGTTTCCCCATGTTAGGAGGGGGAAACGGGGAGAGAGAGAGTGAGGGATGGGGAGGGGGGGAGGGGGATGGAGACGAGGCGGAGAAACAAACCGAGTAGACTAAGGAGAGGCAGCGACATCACAGGGAAGCACGAAGAGAGGAAGGGGATCCAGCTGGCTTTTGAGTCGACTCAAAAGTTGAGACAACTCAAAAGTCAACGGGTAGACTAAGGAGAGGCAGCGATATTGCAGGGAAGCATGAAGAGAGGAAGGGGCTCCAGTCGGCCCTTGGCACAGCCAAACGGGCGAGGTAGGGAGGTCAAGGGGTCAGCTCGAACCAAGTGTATCAAGATTGTCATCGCCCCACTCACCCGCCTGATCCCCTCCAGCCACGCACTATCCACAGTGGTTCAAGGGCGAACCACTGTCTCCTTGGCACCCGACCCCCACTCCACCCTTTGAGGTGCCTACGAAGTGCTTAGACCATCTGGCATGGCCCTTCATCCCCCACTAAACCAACCCATCCCCTCCAACCGCACCCCCCACCCACTTACTCCCTTCCAGCCGCGCAATATCCACCACAAATCGCTGCCTGCGCTGCACCCTGGCCCCAGCCCACCCTTTGAGGTGCCGCACAAGACCCTTGAGCATAAAGCGCGCAATGTTTTATACCCACCAACTCACCCGTCTGATCCCCTCCAGCCACGCACTGATCCCATTATCCACCATGAATCTCTGCCTGCGCTGCACCCTGCCGCCGTTCCACCTGAGCCCCAGCCCCAGCCCCAGCCCCAGGCCCAGGCCCAGGCCCAGGCCCCACCCCCACCTGCCATCGATCCTCTCTGACGCCCCCTGCTTGCCCCACTGACCATACCCCACTCACCCGTCTTATCCCCTCCAACCACGCCGTATCCACCATAAACCGCTGCCTGCGCTGCACCCTGCCGCCATTCCACCTGAGCCCCAGCCCCAGGTTCCACCATCCGCCATCACCCCTCTCTGCCCCCCCGCTCGCCCCACTCATCATGCTCCCTGCGCCTGTTGAGCTGGTGGGGATGCTGGGAAGGGGAAAGGGGAGCAGGTGGGGGGTGGGGATGAAGGGTTTGGTTGCTAGATTTCTAGCCTCGGTTCCACCAGACTCGGTCACTCCTCCCTGCCCCCCCCGCTCGCCCCACTCACCATGCTCCCTGCGCCTGTTGAGCTGGCGGGGATGCTGGGAGGAAGAGCGGGAAGGGGAGAAGGTGGGGGGAAATAATAACGGAGGAAATAGGGGGGAAGGGGAGAATGGGCGGGTTTGGTTGTAAGACCTCTAACCCTAGATTCCACCACCCGCCATCGCTCCTCTCTGCCCCCCCCGCCCCCCCCCTTGCCCCACTGACCATGCTCCTGCGCCTGTGGAGCGTGTGGGGATGCTGGGAAGGAGGGGAAGGAGGGAAGGGGAGGGGAGGGGAGGGGAGGGGAGGGGAGGGGAGGGGAGGGGAGGGGGGGAGAAAAAGGGGTTTCGCTGTGAGGTCTCTCAACCCCAGGTTCCATCACCTGCGGCTTGCGGTTGCCTCACTGACCATACTCCTGCACCTGTGGAGCGGGCGAGGGTGCTGGGACGGGGAGCGGAAAAAGAAGAGCGATAGCAGTGGTTGAGTAGTTTACTTTTGAGACGTCTCAAAACCTTTGAGTGGACTTTTGAGTCGACTCAAAAGTCACCACGTCTCAAAACTAAACTACTTGAGCGGGTGAGGGTAATGGGACAGGGAGTGGAAAATATTTTTGAGGCGCCTCAAAAATAGACTCCTCACGTGGGAGTGCTGGGGCAGGGAGTGGAAAAAGAAGAGCGATGGCAAAAACGCGAGCGGTAGGGAATGGACGAAGTGCAAAAACAGGAAATGAAACATGAATAACCAACAGGGAACTATTTCGAGGCGCGTAAAAAGGCGACAAAAGAAACAAGCAGCTAAAAAACCGGCTATTTGGAGGTGTAATGCTAGTCTTAGCAACAATTTTCACTCACAGGGTATCATGTGGTCCTCCAGGATACGACTTTTGAGTCGACTCCAAAGTTTTGAGGCGCCTCAAAACAAAAATAGTTTTGGGGCGCCTCAAAACTAGACTCCTATCACGCGGATTTTCACTCACAGGGCACTGTGTGGCCCTCCAGGATTCGACTTTTGAGTCGACTCCAAAGTCACCTTGTCACTTACAGGGCACCGTGTGGCCCTCCAGGATACGACTTTTGAGTCGACTCCAAAGTCACCTTGTCACTTACAGGGCACCGTGTGGCCCTCCAGGATACGACTTTTGAGTCGACTCCAAAGTCACCTTGTCACTTACAGGGCACTGTGTGGACCTCCGGGATACGCCGCCACGCCTCCTGCTGCTGCTGCCACTCCTGGAAACTCCCCACCGATATAGCCACCACCAGCGCCAGCAGCAGCAGCACCTCTCCCAGCAGCGGCGGCAGCAGCAGCAAGGGCAGCAGCTCTAGCTCGCTGAGCCAAGGCCTCTATCTCACTACTGCTGCTGATATAGGTGGTGAGAGATGAGGAGACAGAGGAGGGGAGAGAGGGGGTAGGGAGCGAGGGGGGACGGACTGCAGGGGCGCGAGAAGCAGGAGCGAGTGCGGAGGGAGGGGAGATGGAGTCTGGCTCGGTGGGAGCAGCGGCAGCAGAGGAGGTGATGGTGGGGAGGGGAGAGGGACCAGACGAGGGTGCGGGGAGGCGAGCAGACCTGCAGTTCGGTAGAGGGAGCAAAGGGATGAGAGGGAAGGAATTGTTTTAGGGGCCTCAAAAGTGGGAGCAGCTGCAGCGGAGGAGGTGTTGGTGAAGAGGGGAGAGGGGGCGGAGGAGGGGAGGCGGGCAGACCTGTAATTGGGTGGAGGGGGCGAAAGGGGAGAGGGACGGGATGTGATGCGAAGGGATGTGATGCGAAAGGATGTGATGCGAAAGGATGTGATGCGAAGGGATGTGATGCGAAGGGATGTGGTGCGAAGGGATGTGATGCGAAGGGATGTGATGAGAAGGGATGTGATGCGAAGGGACGTGATGCGAAGGGACGTGATGCGAAGGGATGTGATGCGAAGGGATGTGGTGCGAAGGGATGTGGTGTGCAGGGATGTGATGCGAAGGGACCTGATGCGAAGGGCAAAAGAGTGGTAGTGGACGCGGAATGTTAACAGTCATGACATGGCATGGGATTGGGAATGGGATTGGGAATGGGATTGGGAATGGGATTGGGAATGGGATTGGGAATGGGATTGGGATTGGGAATGGGATTGGGAATGGGATTGGGATTGGGATTGGGAATGGGATTGGGAATGGGATTGGGATTGGGATTGGGAATGGGATTGGGATTGGGATTGGGAATGGGATTGGGATTGGGAATGGGATTGGGAATGGGATTGGGATTGGGATTGGGAATGGGATTGGGATTGGGATTGGGAATGGGATTGGGAATGGGATTGGGATTGGGAATGGGAATGGGAATGGGATTGGGAATGGGATTGGGAATGGGATTGGGAATGGGATTGGGATTGGGATTGGGAATGGGATTGGGATTGGGATTGGGAATGGGATTGGGATTGGGAATGGGATTGGGAATGGGATTGGGATTGGGATTGGGAATGGGATTGGGATTGGGATTGGGAATGGGATTGGGAATGGGATTGGGATTGGGAATGGGAATGGGAATGGGATTGGGAATGGGATTGGGAATGGGATTGGGAATGGGATTGGGAATGGGATTGGGAATGGGATTGGGAATGGGATTGGGAATGGGATTGGGAATGGGATTGGGAATGGGATTGGGAATGGGATTGGGAATGGGATTGGGAATGGGATTGGGATTGGGAATGGGATTGGGAATGGGATTGGGATTGGGATTGGGAATGGGATTGGGAATGGGATTGGGAATGGGATTGGGAATGGGATTGGGAATGGGATTGGGATTGGGAATGGGATTGGGAATGGGATTGGGATTGGGATTGGGAATGGGATTGGGAATGGGATTGGGAATGGGATTGGGATTGGGAATGGGAATGGGAATGGGATTGGGAATGGGATTGGGAATGGGATTGGGAATGGGATTGGGAATGGGATTGGGAATGGGATTGGGAATGGGATTGGGAATGGGATTGGGAATGGGATTGGGAATGGGATTGGGAATGGGATTGGGATTGGGATTGGGAATGGGATTGGGATTGGGATTGGGATTGGGAATGGGATTGGGAATGGGATTGGGAATGGGATTGGGAATGGGATTGGGATTGGGATTGGGAATGGGATTGGGATTGGGAATGGGATTGGGATTGGGATTGGGATTGGGATTGGGAATGCGAATGGGAATGCGAATGGGAATGGGAATGGGAGTGGGAATGGGAATGGGGATGGGAATGGGAATGGGAATGGGAATGGGAATGGGGATGGGAATGGGAATGGGAATGGGAATGGGGATGGGAATGGGGATGGGAATGGGAATGGGGATGGGAATGGGGATGGGAATGGATAGAAGCGGGCAGATATGAGTCTAGTTTGGAAGGGGAATGCTTTTGAGGCGCCTCAAAAGGGCAGATATGAGTCTAGTTTGGACGGGGAATGCTTTGAAGGTTGGTCGAAAGGCACTATCGAGATGGAGACCATTGGACAGCATGAGGTGCAATGCGCCCAGGACGTCATTCCGCCACACTATACAAGCACATCGCCCCCCCCCCCACACTCACTCTCGGCTCTCAAAACAGGGGTCCCTCTCATATGTACAGGCGAAACCATTTCCCCCCCCCCCTCACACACTCACACTCTACTCTCGAAGTCCGTCAGCAGAGCATCCAGCGCTTCCAGGCGAAATTGTGTCCCACTTATGTGGTAAAGGCTACACCGTGCACCATGTCCCCCACACGACATGCAATCATGTTCCCCACCCCCCCCAACACACGCACACTCTACTCTCGAAGTCCGCCAGCAGAGCGTCCAGCGCCGACTCCCGCGTGGCCCTCTCCCCCTCCACCCCCGCTGCCAGCCCCTCCAGCTGCCCCCGCATGTCTGCCTCTGCTGCTGCCTTCGCCGCCACCACTGCCTGGGGAGAGGCGTGTGGGGGAGAGGGGGAGGGGGGGGGGGGAAGGGAAATGACAGCACTTGGAAACTGAGACTAGCCTTGACTTGAACCGCGCGCATGACTCACCTGAAAACGACCCACCTGAAAGCGACCCACCTGAAAGCGACTCACCTGAAAACGACTCACCTGAAAACGACTCACCTGAAAACGACCCACCTGAAAACGACCCACCTGAAAACGACTCACCTGAAACGACCCACCTGAAAACGACTCACGTGAAAACGACCCACCTGAAAACGACTCACCTGAAAACGACCCACCTGAAAACGGCTCACCTGAAAACGACCCACCTGAAAACGACTCACCTGAAATGACTCATCTGGAACCGCGTGCATTTCGGCTCCATGTCCTGGACATCTCTCTCCAGCCCCACACTGCTGATTGTTTACTGAGCCCAAGAAAACTCACCTGGAACTGCGCGCACTCCGGCTTCACTCACCTGGAACTGCGCGCATTTCGCCTCCATGTCTTGGATGTAGCTCTCCAGCTCCGCCAGTTGCGCCGCCGTCAGCACCACCTGCTTCCGCGCGCTCGACTCCCCGCCGCTGTCCTTTCCGCCGCCCTTCTTCCGCCAGTGCAGGCCAGCCATTGCGGAGACGGGCTTGCGCGGATGCGCGGATGCGCGGAGCAGCGGGCTGGAGGCGTATTAACAGTTGCAGCGTGGCACGGCTATAACGCGGATGCCAGGAGTTTTACGAGCAGGAGAAAAAGCCTCGGAGAGCCGGGAACTGGGATCAGTAGCAACCCGAAATGGCCGCCAAGTAGATGTCAGAATGTTTACAGACGGAGAAGCTTATGACGACAGGCCGGTAAGCACAGTTTTTCCGATCGCCACGCTTCGACGCCAGAAAAAGTTATGGGGACTTAGCCTCAGACGCATTGTGAGATTCGTGAATACTGTATTGCGAAGGGAAGCTCAAATTCCAATTTCCAACATCCTCAGCGGGAAGGGAATCCCAGCTGAATGGCACAGCGTGACCGAAGAAGCGCTGCTGCAAGGCCAAGGGAATTGCTTCTGCACACCGACCCGTCAAAAGCAGAGGGATCGATTCCTTTATAAGGTGGTAATGATAACGGAAACGACTTGGTGACAACCTAACAATGCGTGTTTTGAGAACAGCTATACAAAGCTAAGCATGTGTTTTGAATGTACAAATATGACACACTAGCATTGATGAAATTCACAAAACAAGCGCGTTTGCATCTACAAACAGAAGAGACCCTACACAGCAGCAACAAAACCTACTGGCTCAATCAATCGCAAAGCAACAAAAGAAGGATCCACCCATTCACCAAGCACCTGTACATACGCAAACCAGAAGAAACGAGATGAGAAGCAGCATCCAGCAGCACCCAGCTGCGCTAAAAACAAACCACAACCTTCCCACGCCACTCGTTGTGCCCTCATCTCCTTTCCCTTCTCGCCATAGCTCACTCCAACGAGTTATGAGTCCCATCTTGTCTACGCGCCAACCGAGGAAGACTTGCTCATTTTCGGCCACCAGTCAAGCAGCGACCCGGGCGCAATGCTCCAATCAGGAGTGAGGAACTCCCCGGAGCCCAACTCCCACCCCTCCAACTCCTCTTCGCCCGTCTCCCCTCCCTCCTGGACCTCCAAGTCTTTCGCCAGAGGGCCAAGGTCAGAGGGGGAGAGACTGGCAATGGGCAGCACACGCACTATGCGCAGGATGTCAGTGAGGCTCACCACTCCCTGCAAGTGCATTTCCACGCTCCCTCCTCCGGAACTTGATGCAGGGACACACTGCAAGAGAGCAGCAGCAGCAGACCTCGCTCCCCCCTCTCCCCCCTCGCCTCCCTCTCCTTCGGCTGCAGCTGGCTTGTCCTCTTCTATAGCTGGCAGCACTGTAGCAGCGGGCGGCTTTGGCTTGCCGTTACCACCAGCGCCCTGGTCCTCTAGCTTGTCCTTGAAGATGCTTATAGGGGGTACGCGCGGGGAGGGCATGGGCGAGGGCTGCTCCTGCTGGTCCACCACCCACACACGGTGCACCCTCTCCCGCACCATGCGGTGCAGCACACGCCTGAGACTCGTGCTCCTGAGAGAGCAGGGGAAGGAACGAGGAGGATACCAGAGTAAATAATCCACCACCCACACGCGGTGCACCCTCTCCCCCTCCCGCCAGAACGCACAAGGAACGAACGAATGCAAAGTAGTCAGTTAACGGGCCCATCACCCACACGCGTAGCGCCCTCTCCCTCGCCATACGGTGCAATGCGCGCCTCAGACTCGGCGTTCCAGATGCTAGGAAGTCAGCATAACAGTCGGTGAATAACCCATCGCCACCACGCACACGCGACGAGCGCCTCGCCAGGACAGCTGATCGTCACCAGGCGCACACTTGGGTGGCGGATTGGTCACCACTGGTAATTCTTGTGTATTTTGAGTCAACTCAAAATTCTTCTTGCACTCATAGCACTCCAGAGCTGCCCCGCTGTGACCGCGCCCAAGGTCTTCGAACTCATTGCGCGGAAAACACCTGGTGCAGGTAACACCTGGTGCAGGCAACACCTGGTGCAGGCAACACCTGGCGCAGGTAGCGCCTGGCGCAGGTAGCACCTGGTGCAGGTAACCTGGTACAGATAACACCTGTTGCAAGAAACACCTGGTGCAGATAAAACCTGATGCAGATAACACCTGGTGCAGGTAACACCCGTCAAGTTCTCACCTGGCGCAAGTGATGAGGTGGCAGTCCCTCCACAACACCAGAGCAGCCAGGAACTGCCCCGCAGTGGTCGCCCCCACGCACTCAAACTCCTCCTGGTGCAGGCAGCACCTGCCCTCCCATGTTCTCACCTGTAGCAGATAAAACCTGATGCAACACCTGATGCAACACCTGATGTAACACCTGATGTAACACCTGATGCAACACCTGATGCAACACCTGATGTAACACCTGATGCAACACCTGATGCAACACCTGATGTAACACCTGATGCAACACCTGATGCAACACCTGATGCAACACCTGATGTAACACCTGATGCAACACCTGATGCAACACCTGATGTAACACCTGATGTAACACCTGATGTAACACCTGATGTAACACCTGATCCAACACCCGATTATCCCTTACTTGGTGCAAGTGACGAGGTGGCGGTCCCTCCCCATCCTCAGCGCAGCCAGGAACTGCCCCACCGTGATCGCCCCCAGGTCCTCAAACTCCTCCTCCCCCACCCGCACCGCCGTCTTCGTCCCATGCCCCTCCCCTTGCTCCTTCTCGTGATCCTTCCCGTGACCCTTCCCGTGCTCCTTCCTCTGCTTCCTCTCCTTCCCCTTCTTCCCCTTCTCCTGCTTAGTTGTCTCCTTCTTCTCCGCCCGCACCTCCAGCAGGTGGATGCAGCGCACGTCGGTGGCGGAGAGGGTGTCGATGAGCGTCTCCCCGCACGCGTGGAAGGCGGAGTGCGGCTCCGACAGGCGGGCTGCCACCACGGGAAGCGCGGTTACCTGTGGGGGGGGGCATGTGTTTCGCAAGGCAGCAGGGAGCAGAGAGAATGCTGGTGAGCACCTCCCCGCACGCGTGGAAGACGCAGCGGGACTCTGACAGGCGCGCTGCCGCCACTGGTAGCGCTGCCACCTGGGAGGGAAGAAAGATGTCGAAACGGCGTACAAAATCCCATGGCAACAGCAAGAAATAAAGAATAAAAAAAAGCATGTGAAGCTGCTAGAACGAACCTGGTGGCGCCTGACAAATCACCTGGTGGCGCCTGACAAATCACCTGGTGGCGCCTGACGAATCACCTGGTGGCGCCTGACGAATCACCTGGTGGCGCCTGACGAATCACCTGGTGGCGCCTGACGAATCACCTGGTGGCGCCTGACGAATCACCTGGTGGCGCCTGACGAATCACCTGGTGGCTCCTGACGAATCACCTGGTGGCGCCTGACAAATCACCTGGTGGCGCCTGACCAATCACCTAGGGGCGCCTGACGAATCACCTGGTGGCGCCTGAAGAGCCTGAAGGCGTGCAGCAGAGTGTCTGCCGGCGTTATGGTCACCACCAGCGGCCACACCAGACCCAAGTCGTCCACCCTGGGAGTGCAAGGGAGAGGAGAAGATAGAAGAGGGAAGAGGGAAGAGGGAAGAGGGAAGAGGGAAGGGGGAAGGGGGACAGAGCCATAAACGAACTCAAACATCATCAGCACACTCCAAAATGTCACCAGCAGCAGCCACACGAGACCCAGATGGTCCACTCTCAAGTCGTTCTGCTTCCCCATTTCCCCTTCTAAAGCACCTCTTAGCCAGCCAGCGCCAGCCCCATCAATCCTTCGTGCAACAGCAAAAAGGTCCCGCCCCTCCATTTGCGAGAGCGCGCAGTACTCCTCACCCTCGCCCCCCACACCCCACCCAACTGACATGGCCTTCCATGTTCCCCTTCCCACGCACCTCTTAGCCAGAGCCAGCCCCATGAGCCCCTCATGCGACAGCAGGAAGGTCGCGACGTCCATCTGCGAGAGCGCGCGGTACTCCTCCTCGCCCACCACGCTTCCAGTCACACCGGAACCCACCCACCCCTACCACTCACCTCTTAGCAAGGGCCAGCCCCATGAGCCCCTCGTGGGACAGCAGGAAGGTGGCGACGTCCATCTGCGAGAGCACGCGGTACTCCTCCTCGCCCACCACGCTTCCAGTCACACCCCGCCGTGCACCGCTGCAGCTTCCTCCTCCATCCCTGCATCCACGGCTGCCCTGGTAGGTGCGAGTGATCCAGCACGTACCTCTTAGCCAGCGCCAGCCCCATGAGCCCCTCATGCGACAGCAGGAACGTGGCGACGTCCATCTGCGAGAGCACGCGGTACTCCTCGCCCACCACGCCGCCCATCACCTCGCTGTGCACCGCCAGCGGCATCGGGGGCGCCGGCTGCGCCGCTCCCTCCTCCTCCTTCTCCTCCTCGCTCCCCGCATTCCCCTCGCCCTTGGTGGGTGCTTCCGTGGGTTTGGCCGGCGGTTCGATGACGGGGTGCAGCTCGTGCTCGCCCGGCCCGATGTTGGGGACCAGCCCGCGGTGGAAGCCGCCCGCGCCTAGCAGCAGCATGGCTTGCCACACACTGGAGGGGAAGAGGGAGAGGGGAGAAGGGGGCGGGGGGAGGAAAGGGTTTTTGTTTCATCATCCTTGCAGTGGGCAACTGTTTTCATCATCGCGCCCAAACCCTCTCACGGTGTGTAATGAGTCGATTTTTCCTCTTCGCTGCAGCCCACCCTAACGCTTAATGCCTTGCAGCGGGCAACTGTTTTCATCATCGCACCCAAACCCTCTCACGGTTCCCTGCACCGTTCCTCAACTTTCTCCGCTTGTCACACCAGGAAAAAAAAGCTCTCTCCCATTCTGCATCTACCCGTCGCCCCTCTACTTTCTCCTTCCCTCCTCCCTCACTCTTCCCCTCTCCCTCCCTATTTCCCCCTCCTCCCTCCCCCCCCTCCCTCCGTTTTCCCCTTCCCCCCTCCGTCCCGCCCACCTGGCGTGGGGGTCCACGACGACCATCTGACGTGTCTCTTCGGATTTTCCCATGACGTCAGCCACCTTCACGTCGCATAGGGTCTTCGCCACCACTTCGTCGTCGTCGCCACGCTTGTCCTTGTTACCATCCCACTCCGCCATGAATATCGCCACGTCCACCACCGAGAGCTGAGACGCGAAGACACGGGAGGAGGGGAAGAACAGGGGCGTGTTGAAAATAATTTACCCAAAAAATAAAAAGAAAAAAAAGGCGTACGGGAGCGTTATAAGAACGGGCATACGCAGGGATGAAGCCCATCTTTCCCAGCACGGAATCGCACGGGCGACAAAGCGACGGCTCACCATGCCGACGATTCGCAAGTGCGACAAGCGGCGAAGACTCACCATGCCGACGAATCGCATGGGCGACGGATGCACCATGATGGACTGCAGCGCCTGAGGCTTTTTCAGCGATGGCGTCTCGGTTTGGTGCGGTGCAGAGAGGCGGCGGTTGCGCACGGGCATCGACGTCACGTGGTGCTCCTGGAACAGCTTCAGCGCCGTTGTTAACGAATCGTTCGCATCCACGGTAACGAGCGTCCTCTTACCGAGGACAAGCTCCTTCACTTCAGACAGCTTCAGTACGCGAGCCATAGCAGCGGAATATGTTCCGACGTCAAAACATGCGAGACGCGAGTCAGATTAAAAAGTTGGGCTCTAATCCGAACCTAAAAGGCTAAAAACTATTCAGCTATCTCGCCTGCAGCAGTTAAAAGTGCCCAGTCTCACAATAAGCGGGAAAAAATCTAGGCCAAGGCCAAGTCGCAAAGCAAGCAGCCGAGTCGAAAACGGAGCAGAAAGAATGGTTCGCTGCAAATAAAGGGAGACAAGGCACCAAGAAACAGAGATTCGTGAGCAGGCTGCCTGGCAATGTACGCGCCGCATGCGGCAGCTTGCACATTTTCTTGGCCTGCAGGGATGAATTGCGTTCTTTGGTTGGGACAGATAAATCGAGCCATGCAGCATGGTGTATGATGTACGCGATAGGAAACAGCGGTAACTACAATGCTATCGACTTCTTCGCTGGCTGTACAGCAGCCCACGTCGAGCCTCGCGAACAGGGGTGCGACGAGCTCACATCCTTCGCCAAATATTTCTCGTCGGGGCAGCGCTAGGGCGCGGGGATGCTGGTGGTTCTGTCAAAATTTGTGCTGTGCCCATTTGTTCGATCGGAAGAAACATACCTGGAGGCGACCATCTTCTTATTTCTGAGGGCAGACTTTAATAATACGTGCGTATTTGTTTCGAGTTGTGCTTTGTTTCTTACCCATACGTCAGTCATAACACCTATACAGCCATCGGAGGGTTCCGACGAACTGGGGAGATTGCTAAGCACGCCAGGAAGACCCATGGTTTAGGGTCAGATCTGACAGACCGTTGACCGCAAATGGACAGTGAAAACACCCCTTCACTTTGAACAGTGTGTCCATGAGCTGAGTCCCAGTCCCCCATCTGGTCTCCGAAAGGAACGGAAGTTGGCCCGAGAAATAGCCCCACACTGGTCAGGTCCGGAGAGAATGCCCCCATGACGGATGTGCTGTCAGCTGCCCGTCAGATATCAGCGAAATTTGGATGTCTAGTTCTGCATTGGGGGCAGTGACCTGCTTTGGACACGTGACGATGAGTCGGATGGCACAGCAAGATAAATGGATGACGTGAGAAGTAAGTTTTCTGATGTGGCTTCCGCTGACTCAACCATTGCACTTGGGCGCCAGTATTATAGCAGGGTTCAGCAGTAAGCCTTTGGAGAGGTACGCAACAAACAACATAGTTACCACTATTAGATAAAAGTTGCATATATTCTGCACTAGCTGGAAAAGGAGAAGATTCATGTAAAACAAGGGCTGTGATTAATGAAGCTTCTCACCCGTGACTATTGATATGCATATATGGTCGAAAAAGGGGCATAAGAAAGCAATTGCCCGTGTTAGATAACAAAAAAGCGGAGAAATCTGATTGAACTTGAGGGTCGGCTGAACTCAACACTTGGTCGGGGGCTCCAGACCAGAGCAGCTCACTTTTGAAAATAAGACTTGTGTTCTCCGTCTCTTACTTCCGCTGGAGCTCAATGAACTGCGCCAAAGCAGCCTCCATCCAGACCTTCTCAGCTCGCAACTGACCAATCAACATATGGCATGGGGCAGAACGCAAGGTCAAGAACAGTGGTACAGAAAAACAGAGCAACGCTCATTCAATGACAAAACCCCCGCACCTTCACAACTGCCATACCTCTCACAACCCCCACACCAGTACGCCCACAACCTTCACAGCCCCACCCTGCACGCCACCGCCCTTCACAGTCCCACCCAGCTAAGCCACAAGCCCCCTCAACCCACAGACCCCCCAGCCCCAGCCCGCAGCCCCCTCCGCCCGCAGGCCCCTCAGCCCACAGCCCCCTCCGCCCACAGCCCATACCCCCCTGACCTGCTCCAGTGCTGCCAGCTGGTGCTGCTGCTCTGCCATGGCCTGCCGCATCCCCTCATGCTCCTGATGACATGGGCGGCATGTGATGGCATGGGCGGCATGTGGTGGCATGGGTGGCATGTGATGGCATGTGGTGGCATGGGTGGCATGTGATGGCATGTGGTGGCATGGGTGGCATGTGATGGCATGTGGTGGCATGGGTGGCATGTGGTGCACGTGATAGTGGATACAGGGTGGAAGGAAAAAGGAAACGATGAGTGCACCACATGCCATGCCACACGACAAGAAAATGTGGGGCCAAAGATAAGTGTGGGCGAAGGCGAGGAGGGTGTGCGACAAGTGCAATGTCGTTCACCGACCCCCCCCCCCCAAATCATAGCAAGGGTGTGATAGGGTTTGAGACTTCTAAAATACCTATCGCAAGTGCAATATCGTTCCACCGCTCCCCCCCAACCATAGCAAGCAGCCCGTGCGTGCGTACCTTTCGCGTCATCTCCAGCCACGCGCCGTCCACCACCCACTTGTGCTGCCGTCTCACCGCCACCCCCCCATCAGCCACCATCGACAGCGGCAGCGGTGGGCCCGCCGAGGTTCCTGCAAAAAAGTCACACAGGGAGGGGCTGGGAGGGGGGGAAGGGAGGGTGGGGGAGGGGAAGGGGGAGGGGAAGGGGAGTGGGGCGAGGGGGAGGGGAAAGGGGGGGAGGAAGGGGAGGGGAAATGAAGGCACCACTGACAGTGGCAGAGGCAGGCCCACAGAGGTGAGCCGAGGAGAAATCGCACAGGGAGGTGGAAGGTGCCCGGGCGGGCTGTGGAAAGGGTAATTTGAGTCGACTCAAAATTCACCCAGGCCCGCAGAGGTGATCCGAATGCTTCTTGGCACTCACAGGTTGGCGTCATGCAAAACGACAGCCCCCTTGCTTCCAGGGCTCGCCGCACCCCCCGCCAGCTTGCTCGGACTGCCTTGCTTGCCCAGACTCGTCTGACTCGTCCGACTCGTCTGAGTGGCTTGGCCTTGGCCGCGCTGACTCTTATCTTGTGGGCTGCTTCCGGCACTGCCTGCTTGGGGCGTCGTCTCAGCCACACCTGCCCCGCCTGCTCCTTTCCCCCCTGATTCTGCTGCTGCTTCTGCTGCTGCTTTTGAACCCCTGCTTGCGCCTGCCTGGCTGCCTGCAGTGTTGGCCTCGCTGCACGCTGCTTGACTGGCACAGCCCGGGTCCACGTATAGAGACGGAGAGGAGGCGGAGAGGGATGAGGCGGAGGCGGAGAGAGGGTGGGCGAGGGACCAGGCGGAGAGGGAGTGAGAGAGGGAGGAGGAGAGGGAGGAGGAGAGGGAGGAAGTGAGGGAGGAAGCTGGAGGAGAGAACGGGGGGGAGGAGACAGATGGGCCAGGGTTAGGCGCTGCTGTTTGTGCCACCCCTGTCGCTGCCGCTGCCGCTGCCGCTGCTGCCGCTGCTGCTGCTGCTACTGCTACTGCAGCTACTTGCTGTGATGATTCTGGCAGCGGTGCATTGGCTGTGGGCGCTTTTGAGGCTTGCGCCGCTGACACGCCATGCACCATGCGAGCAGCACGGAGGATCAAAGCATCGAGCTGCGACTCGTGCCTGGAAAAGGCCTGTGCTGCTGCGGCATCCACAGACTCGTATGGCGCACATGCCCTGCCCATCCACAGAGACGAATTGAGAGGAGGGAGAAGTGGGGGGGAGAGCACATGAGAGAGAGGTAGAGGGTCTATTTTTGAGGCGCCTCAAAAATAGACTCCTCACGCAGGGAGAGAGCACATGAGAGAGAGGTAGAGGGAAGTGGTTGGTGTGTTAGGGCATCTATCTAGCTGCGCCTTGTGCCAGGCGAAGGCGTGCGCTGCTGCAGCATCCACAGACGCATATGGCTCGCAAGCCCTGCCCAGTGATAAAGGTGGAGAGGGGTGGGGAGGGATGGAGGGGGTGGGGGGGGAGGAAGAGAGGTATTCTTGGCTTGTGGGGTTGTGTCTAGCGAAGGCCTGTGCTGCTGCAGCATCCACAGACGCATATGGCTCGCAAGCCCTGCCCAGTGATTATGGCGAGTGGAGATGAAGGTTGGGGCGTGGAAGGCGGGGGGAGGAGAGGGGGATACTCTTGGGTTTTGTCAGCTGGTCTCTCAGTTGGTCAAAATCGTGCAGGACCGGGGGGATGGGATAAGAAGGGCAGAAAAATAAGAGCAGGGCAGGAAAACCAGAGGAAGAGAATGAAGGGGCAGGAAGAGTTTTGTTTTTGAGAATTCTAAAAAACAGGAAGAAGAAGGCAAATGGAGGCGGGGGGAGAATAGCCGTGCACTCACGTGAAATCGCGCCTCTCCATCCCCGTTATAAGCGTCTTCAGAGCAGCGTCCCGTGCAGCCCTCTCCCGCTGCGCCTGCTGCACCACCCCCTCCACCCGCCGCCTCACCTCCTGTACCTCCCGACCCTTGGCCTCCAAAGCACTCTGCAAGGAGAGAGGGAAGAGCGAGGGGAGCCGGGGGATTGGGGACAAGGTGGGAGAGGAAGAAAGATCATATCTGCGCCTGCAGCACCACCCCCTCGACTCGACCCTCCCCCCCACTTCCTGCGCCTGCTGTGGCTTGGCCCCTAGGGCCCCTGCGCCAGGGGGGTGGTAAACAGGTGGGACGAGCATCACCTGACTTGTGCAGATATGGTTGACATGCACAATTGAAACAAGAACAAGCACAATTGAAACAAGAACTGTGTGAGCTAAGCTCCTACTCCTGCTAAGGGGTGCACAACACAAGAGATGCACAACGGATCGCCAAGGGGAAACCCAAGGGGAGGAGGAGCGAGAGAAAAGAAGGAAGTGGCAAGGAGTGAGATAGAGGGAACCCACCTGGAACCTTCCACAGACGGATTTCATGCTGGCAATGTGTGAGCTAAGCTCCTTCACTTGCTCCTTCCGGATCACACTCCCTTGGCTCCTCTCCTCCTCCCTTATCTTCCTCTCCTCCTCCCTTGCTTTCCTCTCCTCCTCCCTTGCCCTCTGCTCCTTCACTCTCGCCCGCCTCTCCCGCTGCACCAGCTTGTTCCATTGAGCGCCCAGCACCTTGATTCTCCCAATCCACTCCACCGTCCTCCCCCTCCAATCCTCCTCCCTGCCCCTCCACTCCTCCTCCCTGCCCCTCCACTCCTCCTCCCTCCCCCTCCACTCCTCCTCACCTGCCCTTTCCTTCTCACTCCCCGCCAACCTCTCCACATCTGCCGCTCCTTCCTCCACCACCTCTCCAACTGACGTCTCCACAGCCTCCTCCTCCCGCTCCTTCTCCCCATCCTCCTCCCGCTCCTTCTCCCCATCCTCCTCCCCCTCATTCCCCCCTTCCTTCTCCCCCTCCTCCAACTCTGCTGGTTCTTTCGCCGTCTCAGCATCCCTCCTTGCCTCCCTCAACACCTCCTCTGCCTCTCGCACCCTCCTCTCTCCCTCCTGCAGCTCCCTCATCAATCTCTCTCGCTCGCCCTCCAGCTCTCTCCGCGACCTCTCTTTCTCCCTCTCCACTTGGCTCATCATTTTTTCTTTCTCCCTCTGCACTTCTCTCATCAGCACCTCTTTCTCCTCTTCTGCCTCCACCCTCACTCTCTCCCTTTCCCTCTCCAATTCCGCAATCACCCTCTCTTTCTCCCTTTCCACTTCGTTCCTCACTCTCTCACGCTCCTTCTCCACCTCTTCCCTCACTCTCTCCCTTTCCTTCTCCACTTCCCCAACCATCCTTCCCTTCTCCTCAGCCCATTCCGCCTCCCTCCTCTCCCTCTCTCTCTCCCTCTCTCTCTCCCTCTCCCTCTCTCTCTCCCTCTCCCTCTCTCTCTCCCTCTCCCCCTCCTCCACCCTCCCTCTCCACATCTCCTCTATCTGTCTCACCAGCATTTCCATCCCACTCCTCCTCTCCTCCCACTCCCTCCTCATCCCCCTCTCCTTCTCCTCCCACCCCCTCCTCTCTCTCTCAACCTCCCCCTCCACCTCCCTCCTCTCTCTCTCCATCTCTCTCACTCTCTCCACCATCTCCCCCAGCCTTCCCTCTGCTACAACCCTCTGCTCAGTCTCCACCTGTCTAGCTACCACCTCCCTCCGCAGCTGTTCCCGAACCTGCTCCAGTTGCTGCCGGACCACTTCCACCTCCTCCCGATCCCTTCCCCAAGCCTCCGACACCTGCTGCCAAGCCTGCTGCTTCGTTTTCTCAATCTCCTCCCGATTCTCTTCCCTGACCCTCTCGACTTCCTCGTTACCCTCGCTCCTAACCCTCTCCACCGCTTCCAACCCCTCTCTCGTGGCCCGTTCAACCTCTCCTCTCAAGTTTTCCACTGCTCGTTCCAGCACCATCCGTGTCATCCTCCCCTCCTCCTCCTTCCCCTCTACAAGCGTCTTCAGTTGCTCGACAAGCTCCATTAACTCCCCCACCTCCCTGCCTCTCGTTTCCACCTCCTCCCTCTGCCTCTCCACCTCCCTCTCCTTCTCCCTCGCCTCCCTCTCCGCCTCCTCTTTCCCCTCTACAAGCACCTTCAGTTCCCCTACAAGCTTCAACAATTCCTCTACCTCCTTGCCCCTCACCTCTACCTCCCTCTCCCTCACTCCCAGCTCCTCCCTCTGCCTCTCTACCTCCCTCCCCTTCTCCCTCACCTCCTTCTCAGCCTCCCCAAGCCTCACCCTCACTCCCTCAACCTCCTCCTCCATCTCCCTCACTCGCTCCCTCACTCTCTCCACCTCCTCCTCCAGAGCTGCAACCGCCTTCCTGGAAGCTTCAGCTTCTGCTACAGCCTCCTGCAGCCTTCTGTTTGCCACATCAGCATCAGCCCTCGAAGCTTCAGCTTCTGCTACAGCCTCCTGCATCATTCTATTCGCCACGTCAGCATTAGCCTTTGCAGCGTCAGCATCAGCCCTCGAAGCTTCCGCTTCTGCTACAGCCTCCTGCAGCATCCCCTTTGCCACGTCAGCATTAGCCTTTGCAGCGTCAGCATCAGCCCTCAGAACTTCAGCTTCTGCCACAGCCTCCTGCAACCTTCTGTTCGCCACATCAGCATCAGCCCGTGCCGCATCAGCGTCAGCGCGTGCAGAGTCAGCATCAGCCCTCGCCGCGTCAGCATTTACCCAGGCAAGTGCCATAATCTCCTCCACCTTGTCCGTCACTACCGCAACCCGCACCCCCTCTCTCTCTCTTTCTGCCTCCTCCTCCGCTCCCTCTACCTCTTGCATGCGCGCCCCTTGCATGCTCACGCCCAGCGCTGCTCCTTCCCTCAGCAGACTCTGTTTCACTGCCGCAACCGCCCTCCTCCACTCATCCCTCTCCCTCCTCACCCCTTCCACCTCCTCCTCTCTCTCCCTCACTCTCTCTTCCAGACTACTAGCCTCCCCGCTCAGCCTCATCCTCGCCCCCTCACTCTCCTCCCACTCCCGCTCCACCTCCTCCAGCCTCTTTCTCACTCTCTCCGCCTCCTCCTCCGCCTCCCGCACACTCCTCTCCTCCTCTCTCAGGCGCCTCAGAAGGATCGCCATATCCCTCTCCGCATTGTCCCTCTCCCTCTCCGCCTCCTCCTTGCTCCTCTCCGCCTCCTCCTTGCTCCTCTCCGCCTCCTCCTTGCTCCTTTCTGCCTCCTCTCCCCTCCTCACAGCCTCCTCCCTCCTCCTCTCTGTCTCCTCTCCCCTCCTCTCCGCCTCCTCTCTCCTCTCCTCCGCCTTCTCGACCTGCATGTGCAGCGCACTCACCTCCTCTTCCATCTCCCCCACTCTCTCCCTCATCTCCCTCACTCCCCTCAGCCCCTCCTCCAGCTCCCCCCTCACACTCTCCCTCTCTCTCTCCACCTCCTCCCTCCTCCCCCTCTCCTCCTCCACTTCGCTCTCCGCATCCCCAACCCTCGCAGATAACACCTCCCCTTCAGCAGTAAGCACCTGCACTCGCTCGCTTAGCTTCCTCCCTTCTTCCTTAGATTCCGCACACCGTCTCACAAGCCCTTCGTTCTCTGTCCTTAGATTAGAAACCTCCCCACTTAATCTCAAGATTTCCACACCTGATTTCTCACACTCCTCACTTAACCTCTCCCTCTCACCTTCCACCTCCCTCACTCTCTTTTTCAAACCAACCACCTCCCCCTCTAAAGCCTCCTTCACTTTAATCACACTTGACAGCTCAGCAATCATGCTACGCTTCTGCTCGCGCTCCCTTTCCAGCTCAGCAAAGAGTCTTTCCACCTCAGCAACCAGCCGTTCCACCTCAGAAACCAGCCCCTCCACCTCCCTCACCTTGCCCTCCACCTCACACCGCACCACCCCCTCTCTCTCCTTCCATCCCCTCACCTCCTCCTCCTTGGCTCTCAGCTCCTCGACCTTTTGTTTCACCTCCTCCTCCTTTTCTCTCACCACCTCATCCACAGCTTTCACCTTCTCCTTTGAAACTCTCAAGTCCCCTTCCAGCGCCTCCACCTTCTCGTCCCTCTCTTTCACCGCCGCCCCCAAAACTCTCACCTCCTCATTCACAGCCTCCACCTTCTCCCTCATACCTCTCACCTCCTCTTCCAGGGCCTTCACCTTCTCGCCCCGCTCTTTCACTCGCACCTCCAGCTCCCTCACCGCTCTCACCAGCGCTTCCTTTTCGCTCTGCAGCCTTGCAATATGCTCCTGGTGCGCCCTTTCAACCTCGTCTTTCTCTTCCACGGCTTTCACCAGCGCCTCCTCTTCCCTCAGCAGCCTGGCAACAACTTCCCGGTGCTGCCTTTCGAGATCTTCCTTCCCTTCCACCGCTACCTCCAGCGCCTCCTTTTCCCTCAGCAGCCTTGCAGCATGCTCCCTGTGCTCCCTTTCAACTGCCTCTTTCGCACTCCCTGCCATCCTCTCCCTCGCCTCCCACTCCTCCCTCTCTGCCTGCAGCTCCAGTATCTGCCGCTCCCTATCTTGCACTTGAGCCTGCAGCACCACCACTTCGCTATCAAGTGCCGCTTTCTCCCTCCTTTCCCTCTGCAACCTCTCCTCCCATTCTCCCCTCTCTGTCTGCAGCTCCAGTATCCGCCGCTCCTTATCCTGCACTTGACCTTGCAGCGCCAACACCTCCTTTTGAGTGGACTCAAAAGCCATCCTCTCCCTCGCCTCCCACACCTCCCTCTCTGCCTGCAGCTCCAGTATCCGCTGCTCCTTATCTTGCACTTGACCCTGCAGCCCCACCACCTGCTTCTCCTTCTCCTCCATCCCTGCTTGTAACGCGGATATTTGCCTACCCCTCTCTTGAACTCCTGCTTGTAACGCAGCAGCTTCATTCACCGTCTCCTCCACTTGCCCCTGCAGCACTTTCACCTGCCGCTCTTTCTCTCCCAACCCTGCTTGTAACGAGGATATCTCTTCCCCCTTCTCCTGCACACTTGCCTCTAGCTCTCTCACTTGGCCCACCCTCTCGTCCAACTCTACCTGTAAAGCGCACACCTGCCTTCCCTTACCCTCAACTGCAGACTCCAGCACCAGTATCTTCGCATCCCTCACCAGAACCATCGCCTCTTTTTCCCGAGCATACCCTTCCTTCTCTCCCACGCTTGCCTGCAGCACTGCCACCTGGCCCCTTAGCGCCCTCATCACCCCTTCCCTTTGTTCTGATTCTAGTGCCCTTTCCTCCAGTGCCGCTCGCAGCCCCTCTACAACCTCTTCCTTCTCCCTTAACGCTCCCTTCAACCCCTCTGCGGCCTTATTCAACTCCTCCAATTCTCCTTTCAACCCATCCGCCACCGCTTTCGACTCCTGCAGCTTCCCTCGCAGCCCCTCTACTGCCTCTTCCTTCTCCCCCAATGTCCCCTTCAATTCCAAAGCAGTCCTTTTCAGCTCTTCTAGTTCGCCCCTCAATCCCACTACCGTCCCTTCCGTCCCTTCTAATTGCCCCTTCAATCCTTCAATACTCTCATCCCTGTCCTTCAATTCTCTTGTCAACCTCGCCACCTCACCTTCCTTCTCCTTCAGTTCGCCCCTCAGCGCCACCACCACCCCTTCCGCCTCCCCCAACTTCCCCTCCACTTCCTCCGCAAATTCGTCCCTCTCCTTGGCAACTTGTGTCAACCTCGCCACCTCGCCATCCCTCTCCTTCAGTTCGCCCCTCAGCCGCACCACCACCCCTTCCGTCTCCTCCACCTTTCCCCTCAATGCCTCTGCATCTTTGTCCTTCTCCTTTATTTCTCGTGTCATACTCGCCACCTCCCCTTCATTGCACGTCAATTCGCCCCTCAGCCCCGCCACCACCCCTTCCGTCTCCTCCAAACTCCTCTTCAACGCCTCCAGAGCCTCGTCCCTCGCCTTCAAATCCGCCACCAAGCCTACAACTACGCCTTCCTTCGCCTTGAGCTCGCCTCTCAACCCCACCGCCACCCCTTCTGTCTCCTCCAGCTCTCCCTTCCACGCCTCCACATCCTCGCCCTTCTCCCTCAAATCCCTGGTCAAAGTCGCCACCTGCCCTTCCTTCTCCTCCAATTCGCCCCTCAGCGCCACCACCACCCCTTCTGTCTCCTCCAGCTTTCCCTTCCACGCCGCCACATCCTCGCCCTTCTCCCTCAAATCCCTGGTCAAAGTCGCCACCTGCCCTTCCTTTTCCTCCAATTCGCCCCTCAGCGCCACCGCCACCCCTTCTATCTCCTCCAGCTCCTTCTTCCACCCCACCATCGCCTCTTCCCTTTCCTTCAAATCAGCCATCAGCCCTGCAACTGTCCCTTCCTTTTCCTCCAATTCGCCCCTCAGCGCCACCACCACCCCTTCTATCTCCTCCAGCTTTCCCTTCCACGCCGCCACATCCCCGCCCTTCTCCCTCAACTCCCTTGTCAAACTCGCCACCTCCCCTTCCTTCACCTCCAGCTCGCCCCTCAGCGCCACCACCACCCCATCCTTCTCCTCCACCTCCTTCTTCCACCCCACCATCACCTCCTGGCCTATCTCCCTCTCCCGCTCCAACAACCCCACTCTCTCCCTCATCTCCTCGCACTCCCTGCTAACCCTCTCAACCTCCACCCTCCCTCGCTCCACCTCCTCCCTTCCCTCCTCCACTCGCCCCTTCAACTCCCCAATCACCACATCCGCACTCGCTCTCTCCCTCTCCCTCTCCCCCTCAACCCTCTCAGCCAGCATCCTCGCCTCCTCTAAATCCCTTCTCAATCCCTCCACCTCCCTCTCCCTCTCCCCCTCAACCCTCTCAATCCAGCCCCTCTTCTCCTCTAGCTCCTGTCTCACTCCCTCCATCTCTCTCTCCCTCTCCCCCAACCGCTCCTTCAACCCTCTCACCTCCACCTCCCTCTCCTCCACTTCCTCTCTCAGCACCCTCACACTCCCCCGCTCCTCCTCCAACTCCCTCACTCTCGCCTGCAAAACGCTCTCCGTCTCCTCTATTTCCTTCCCCTTCGCCTCTTTCTCCCTCATTTCCCTCTCCACCGTGCTCCGCGCCTCACCCAGCTCGCGCATTGCCTCCTCCACCTTGCTTAACGCTTCCTTCCTCTCCCCTTCCACCTTGCCTATCTCGCCTTGCAGCGATCGGACCCTTTCCTCTAGATTGCACACCGCCTCTTTCCTCTCCCCTTCCACCTTGACTATCTCGCCTTGCAGTAACCAGGCCCGTTCCTCCAGCTTGCAGAAGATCTCCTTCCTCTCCTCTTCCACCTTGCCGATCGTTTCTTGCAGTGAGCCAACCCGTTCCTCCAGCTTGCGTACCGCCTCTCTCCCCTCGTCTTCCACCTTGCCTACCGTGTCTTCCAGTGACCGGACCTGTTCCTCGGCCGCCTGTCTCTTCTCCTTCTCCTCCCTCAGCTCTGTCAGGCTTGCTTCTAACCTCCCCTCATTCTCCGTCTTCTCCTTCCCCCATCCCTCCCTCTCGCCCTCCATTCGTCTAATCTCGCCCTCCAACCCCTCCTTCTCTCTCGCCCATTTCTCCCCCAAAGCACCGCTTTCTGCTTCCATCTTCCTAGCCAGTGCGGTCCTACCCTCTAATTCCCTCTCCAATGCCTCCCTCTCCCTTACCCATATCTCCCCACACGCATCTCTTTCTGCTTCAATCGTCCTGATCAGTAAGCTCCTCTCCTCCACTTCCCTCTCCAATCCCTCCTTCTCGCTTATCCATTTCTCCTGCAACGCACCTCTTTCTGCCTCCACCTTGCCTACCAGAGCGTTTCTTTCCTCCATTTCCCTCTCCAACCCCTCCCTCTCCCTTAACCATTTCTCCCCACACAACCCACTTTCTGCTTCCGTCTTCCGAACCAGAGCGTCCCTCTCCCCTATTTCCCTCTCCAACTCCTCCTTCTCGCTCTGCAATCCCGCAATCCGCCTCTCCAGTTCCACTTTCTCCTTCACCATCTCCTCCTTCTCCCGCGCCCATTCCTCCTCCAACGCACACCTCTCTGCCTCCATCTCGCCAACCATAACGTCTCTATCCTCCTTCTCCCTCTCCCATTCCTCCTTCTCCCTCTCCCATTTCTCCTCCAGCGCAACTCTCTCTGCCTCCACCTTGCTAACCAGAGCGCTCCTCTCCTCCACTAGCTTCTCCTTTTCCCTCTCCAAACCCTCGATCCGCCTCTCCAGTCGCTCTTTCTCCTTCTCCAAATCCTCCTTCTCCCTTTCCACTTCTCCCTTTTTCTTCAGTATACCCTCCTTCTCCCTCGCCCACTTCTCCTCCAATGCGCTTCTTTCTGCTTCCATCTCGCTAACTCGAACGCCTTGCTCCTCGCATTCCCGCACCAGCTTCTCTCTTGCCCTCTCCAGGCCCTCATTTTCCTCCTCCAATCTCCCCTTTACCCTCTCCAATTCCTCCCTCTCTCTCCTCCATTCCTCCTCCAGCGCACGCCGCTCCACCCCCAACTTCCGAACCACTTCCTCACGCTCCTCCCTCTCCTTCGCCACCCCACACTCCAACTCCTCCTCCTCCCTCTCCCTCCTCTCCACATCCCTCTCCCTCTCCCTCACCACCCCCTCAAGCTCCCCAATCCTCTTCTCCCTCCTCCCAACCTCCTCCTCCAACTCCCTCACCCTCCGCTCTCTCTTCGCCCCCCTCCTCTCAATCACCTCTCTCTCCCCCTCCTTCGCCTCCACCTCCCCTCTCAGCGCACTCACCTGCACCGACAGCTCCTCCATCTCCCCTTCCACCTCTCTCAACCGCCCCTCAAGCCTCTTCACCTCTCTCTCCCCCTCCCTCACTCGTTCCTCCCCCTCCCTCACTTGCTCTTCAAGCTCACTCACCCTCTCCCCCTGGGCAGCCGTGGCTGCGAGCTCTGCTCGTTTCGCGGCCAGGCCTGCCTGCAGCACCGCCACCATGTCCCCCAGCTCTCTCACCTCCTCCTCGAGTCCCTTCACCGTTTCCTCTCTCTCTCCCCGCTCCTTCTCCAGCGCACACACCTTGTCTCGTAGCTCACTCACCAACGCTTCCAGCCTCTGGATCGCCTCCTCTTTCGCTTTCATATCTGCCTCTCGTTCTGCCTCTCGTTCTGCCGCCTCTGCACCTCGCTTCCTCTCCTCCTCCTCCCTCACCCTCCTCTCCTCCTCCCTCTCCCTCTCATTTTCCTCCTGCTCCTCCCTCCTCTCGGCTTCCATCCTCCTCCGTTCCCTCTCAAACTCATTCTTAGCGTCATCAATCCTCCCCTCCAGCTCTCCAATCCTCGCTTCTAGGCCACAAGCACGCTCCTCCTTCAAACGAATCTCGGCTTCTATCGAGGATATTCTCGCCTCTCGCTCCGCCAAAGCGACTTCTAGCGCCCCCACCTTCCCAGTCTCCTCGGTCAACGCGGTCAACAGAGCCCCCTCTCGCTCCTTCAGCCTCACCACCTCTCCCTCGGCATCCCCTCTCCGCCTCCTCTCCTCCTCTACCTCCCCATCTATCTCCTCCTTCACTCTCTTCCAACTCTCCCCCTCTCTCACCCTCCCCTCCTCCGCCTCCCTCCTCTCCTCCTCAACCCTCCCAAGACTCTCCCTCACTCCCACCAGCTCTGCTTCCAGCACACCCACTCTCTCCCTCGCTCCCTCTCTCTCCTCCTCCGCCCTCCTCCTCCCCTCCTCCTCCCCCTCAAGCCTCTCCTTCAGCCTCCTCACTTCCTTCTCGACCTCCCTCCTCCTTGCAACCTCCTCCTCGACTCTCTCCCTCAACTCCCGCCCGGCCTTCTCAACGCCCTCTCGCTGCTGCCTCTCCTTTTGACTCGACTCCACCGCTTCCCTCCGCCCCTCTTTGAGCCTCTCCAGTTGCCCTTCCAGCGCGGCCAGCTGCTGCTCCAGTCCCACGCGCTGCTGCCTCTCGGACTCCAGCCACGCCCTCACCTGCGCCACCTCTCGCTGCAGCTCCTCCTCTCTACGCCGCACGTCCTCCCGCACTAGCAGCAGATTGCTTGCACCAGCAGTGTTCACAGCTTTGCCATCCTCCTCCTCTTCCTTCCGGCCTTCACTCCCGTCTTCCGTCTCATCCCCCTCTCGCTCCTCTACCTCTTCTCCCTCCCCACCTCCCTCTTCCCCCCGGCCCACGGTTAACCCAATCTCCCCCCCCGTTACCCGAACCTCCCCTCCCCCTTGCGCCTCCTCATCTCTATCAGCCGACCCCTCCTCTCTCCTCTCAAGCGTCTCCCCCTTACCTTTCTTCCCCTTCCCTTTCTCTCGCTTCCCCACCTCTCTTGCAACCTTCTCCCCCTCCCGCCTCTCCCTCTCAATCTCCCTCCTCTCCTCCACCACCTCCTTCCTCGCCTCCCCCAAGGCATCTACTACCATCTCATTCCCACTCCTCAGCCCCTCTAGTTCTCTCACCAAAATACTAATCTCATCTCTCACCTCCCTCCCCTTCTCCCTCGCCTTCTCCTCACTCCTCTCCAGCAACCCCCGCGCCGTCTCAAGCTCCAACCTCAGCCGTCGGATCGTCCTCTCCGCCTCAGATCTCATCTTCACCGCTCTCCCGTGCAACCGCCTCAAAATCTCCACTTTCCTCGAAACTTCGCCCCTCAACCTTTCCACCTCCCCATCCTTCTCCCTCACCTCGCTCCTCAACGCCTCGACATCTCGCTCAACCGAGAAAATCTCCCTCAAAAGATGATCCTCCCACTGACTCTCTGCCTTAACCTGCAAAGCTAACTCTTCAACTCCCACCTGCCGCTTTAACTCTCTCAGTGCTCGCTCCGCTTCTCCCCGCCGCCCCTCTGCTTCTTCTCGCTTCCTGGAAGCTTCCGCTCGCCGGGCTCGCTCCCGAGCCAGCATGCAGGACTGGTGGAGGAGAAGGTCCTCCATGTAGCCCAACACGTCAGCAGTCGCCACGTCAGCTGTGGCCACGTCGGCAGTCGCCACGTCGGCCGTGGCCAAGTGAGCAGAAGGTAGATTCACGCTGGCAGCAGTAGCAGCGCCAGCACCAAAACCAACACCAACCGCGGGAGCAGCGGGAGGAACAACAACACCTGTATCGCCGCCACCTCTCCCTCCTCCTCCACCACACTCCACCTTCCGAGCCTCCATCCATTGCCAGAGCTTAGCCTCGGCAAGGCGCATGCCGGACCTAAGGTCCTCCGCCTCCTCCTCCACCTCCCTCCTCCTCCTCACCTCCTCCCCCACACTCCTCTCCATCTCCTCCCTCTCTCCCTCCAGCCTCCTCCTCTCCCCTTCTAACTCCAAGATCCGCCTCTCAAAATCCCTTCTGTCTTCGCCCCTCGGTCTCCCCAAATCTGTACTTGCTGACTTCTTCTCAGCAACTCGATCAGCTGCATCGTCTCCCGTCCAGATGCCCCGCCCCTGGGTGACTTTCTCCGCACCATCCTGCTCAGGCACAGCTTCACCCACGCCCTCTTTAGGCGGTGCTACAGCTGGGGCTGTCAGGCCGTCCATATTGACGACCACGTGGGAGCTCTCTGGTGCCATCTCGAATCCTTTTGCAGGTGCTGCTACAACCGAGGTCTTTCTAGTCCCACGCGCTGCTACAACCGAGGGATCTCGAGACGCTGATTCAACTACCGAGCGATCCCCAAAAGCGATCTCCATCGGGCTGTCAAGGTTAGCAAGGCAGTAACCCTTTTCGCCCCCGCTACCACCTTTCGCAGAGTTGACGGTCGGGAGGTGAGGCGAAGCGAGGGGAAGGCAGACGGCAGGGTAGGCAGTCGAGGTTGCCTTGAGGCACTCTAGTGGCGCAGCGGTCGGCAGTCTAAAGCGATAGCAGAAGCCAGCAGTTCGCGTGCAAAGGGAGGGTAGCGGTTCCGCCGGACAGCAAGGCTAGCAACAACCAACAAGCTTTTGAGGACTAGGAGTCGCGGCTTTTCCCGAGACACTGTGGGGAGAAGGGTGTGTTGAGACGTCTTTGAGACGACTCAAACGTCGCTTGGATGAACTACATGTACTTCCTTCCGCGGCGTCCCAACTATAAGCAGATGCATGCGCTTCCCAGTATCACACGAAAATGAGGCGGCGGGTAAAATGGTCATACTAGAGGCTGCGGCGGAAGCGGCAGCATTGGCTGCCGTTCCGCGCTCAAGCCCCGCGCGCACCGCCGCCACTGCCTGGTGGAGGGGGAACGAGGGGAGAGGAACGGGGGGAGCTTTTGAAGGTAACCGCACTCCAACTCAATGGTTTCCGCGCTCAAGCTCCGCCCACTCCGCCGCCACCTCCTGGTGGAGAAGGGACGAGGGGGAGGAAGCGAGGGGCGAGGAAACGAGGGGAGAGCTAACGAGGGGCGAGGAAGGGAGGGGCGAGGAAAGGAGGGGCGAGGAAGGGAGGGGCGAGGAAGGGAGGGGCGAGGAAAGGAGGGGCGAGGAAAGGAGGAAGATTTTGTAGATTCTCGAACGTTAACTCTAGCGTTTCCCCGCTCAAGCTCCGCCTGCTCCGCCGCTACTGCCTGTCGGGGGGAGGGCAAGGGGAGAAGGAGGGGGAAGGAAGTCAGCACCGAAGCATGATTAACAGAGAAGGCACGAAAGGCTTCTTCCTCAGATTTCAAAGCAGGGTAAGAACGAGAGAGCGCGAGAGGAAGGGCGAGGAGAGGACGGACTGACGAGAGGAGAGAGGCCGAGGAAACGGGCGGGAAGAAACGCGACTAAGAATGTGGCAGGCACGAGTGACTGCCACATTCTTAGCAGAACAGCAGCTGGGGAGACGATGAGCACAAGTGACTGAACAGCAGACGCGCGAGAAAGATTGAAGAGGCGCGAAATCCAACAGATGGAAGCTGTGTTGCCCGGCGGATGGCACCTTTTGTACATGAAATCTCGACGGCGGTTATCCCAGCATCTGGACCGTGAACGTCACATCCGCCGCCCTGGATCGACGGCGACCAAGGCGCTTGACCGGCAGCCTGTCTACCTGACGGAATGGCTGACGGACACGAGCCACGTGGCACAGAGGCATTGGTTGGCGTAGGTGGACGATGTGCTGACGTAGGTTGGTGGGTCGGTTCCGGATTCTGGATTTAGGAGAACGATCTCCTCTCAGGGGGGACTACATGTGGACAGGAGACGAGAATACTGGTAGCTGGGATTAATACTCTCCTTAGAGACGTCTCGGACCCTGCAGCATCCGATGCTCATCCCTGCTATCGACCATGGACCCCTCTGCTCCGTACTGACTCGAGTGAAACAGGATTGTGCAAGGACAGACGAAAAAATATCGTCATTGATTTCTGGTGCAGCTCGGTTGGGCACGTTTGCGTCGTGGTCTGTGCGTTATATTAGTCTTCAGTGCGATAACCTTTTTCAGGACGCGCCCTCGGCAGACTCGGCAACTTCGAGATGACGAAGGCGAGAATCCTCGGCAAAACCAAGGCGATGGCCATGAGGATGTCGATGTCATCTCAGCCGTGCATCATGGCTCTGGGGGACCATGTATGCCATGAGTCCATGACCTCAAGTCAGGGGTGTATGGTTCGGTTCGGAGAATCTTGACGGGTCATGTGGCATGGATAACATTTGGAGAGGGGGGGAGGATGAACGACATTCGATGGTGCATGCAAATGCGAAGTGCTGCCGAGCCGAGCGGAACCACGGGTCACAAGCGCATTAGCATTCGCAACCATGATTCCATGACCCCATTCCACTCCTATTGGGCTGGAACGCTCGGGAAAATCTTCGATCGGACCGAAGTCCTACCGCCAACCAATCAGATGGACGAAGAGGCATGACTGTAGCGACAACATTGCGTGAAGGCGCAGACACATTGGCCAAAGATGCTGGACGCCGCCGCTGAAATCCGTGAGCTGCTGCCCGGGACTTCTTTTGACTTCAAGGCATAAATCGGAACGACAGCAATAATTGTTACAAGAAAGCGCCTATTTTGATTGTGTTTAAATATATGTGAAACACCTCCCACTATGTAAGGAATTACCATTCCTTAATGGGGCTCGCCACAGCGAGTACGCGCAAACCTCTCGGCCCTCAAGTCACGCGCCAAACCAGCCCCTGCCGAACTTTTCATCCCGAGTCGCCCCGAACCCATTTTGACCCCATCACCCTCGGGACTATCGAGCCCTTGACTGGCCCTCGACATTCAACCCTGGTCAATCGCCCTAGATATTGCCTTAGGCCTCATTTCTATCAACACTCCATAATCACGTTCCCCTTATTGAATACTGCGCTAAACTCTGAATTGTAATTCATAACACACTTCACGCAAGACCTCTGGAGAGGGCTTGGAGTTGGCGAGATTGCTGCCATAAGATAACAGCTAGTATGCCACATTGAGAATAGGGGCATCACTAGAGCAAAGCTCGCAAGCTGCAAGCACATCCACCAGCCGGATGCAGGTGAATCTTTATTATATACCACAAACAAGGGATGTGGCAGCTAGACCCACGAAAATCACAAGCATTTTGCTCAGACACAGCCCAACCAATGACAAAAACACAGCAGCCCTTGTGACTGCACCTCATGACTACCTACCAAATGATCAAGCACAAGGTAAGGAATGGAACCTGTACAGCAGCAACCCATCCATGGCTTAGATGATGTACACTAGCCAGCCTGGTCGTTCAGCACTCCCAAACCCCCACCCTGCTCCCCACTGCCACCACCAGCATCAGAAATCGCTTGGTGCAGAATCGTTGTGGCGGTGATAGGCGACATCCACAGGGGCAGCGGCCCTTGCTGGTCTGACAGGCATCTGTCTGCGCCACCCTGTCTGTCTGCACCGCTCTGTCTGTCCGCACTGCCCATCCTACCCAAACCCTGGTTGGACTGAGAACCCGAGGACAGTCTGAGCCCCCCATGTTGTTTGCTGCCCCCTGCACTCCCATAGCCTCCACTGGCAGGAGCAGCAGCAGCAGCAGCAGCAGGGATCCTCCCATCATAACTAGCACCATGAGGAGCACCCCCACCACCATCACCAGTAGCACCAACACTACCAGTAGCACAAGCACCAGTAGCACCACTACCACCTGCTTCTCCCCTGCATTCAGCCTCAACGGCAGCAGCAGCAGCAATCAGGGCCTGCGTCCCCTTAGCTAGCGACGCCCCCTGCAGAGGCGGCGACAGCCCCGCCCCCACCGACCCCTCACACCCGTACTCCCCTGACTCCACGCCACCACCACCAGACGGCCTACCCATTTGAGGACTCGGACTTAACAGGGCAAGGTGGCTGGACGGGGGAGAGAGCATAAGGGATTGTCCCAGCAGGGATGGGGACAGGGGAGTGCCACCGGAGGGGTTGGGTGGGAGGAGGGCGTCGTCAGGGAAGGATGGTGGGTGGTCCGAGTCGTCGTCGGCCTGCAGGAGCGCGGACATCTCGCCCATCATGCGCCTCTCTCCCGCCACCCACCAGGACTTGTCTCCGCTCGTTGCCACCCCTTCCCCCCCTGCATCCGCCTGTGGTTCGGCGGTGTCGGTGCGTTGGTGCGGCTCGGCTTTGGCTTGTACTGCCGTTCCGTCTGCAGTCACACAGAGTGCAGAACAGAAACAGAACAGTAAGACATGAACATGTGGAAGTGGCTACTTGTGGAGGCATGTGAAATAAGGACGGGAACAACCGTTCTCCTGATGAGAATCGGAAAAGAAAGAAAGAGAGAGAGAGAGAGAAAAAGAAAAGGCCCGAAAGCTGCTGGACTGACCACACTTCTGGAGCGAGCGGTACTGTAGGCGGACGCTCTCACCCGAGTCCAGTATGCGCACGAGATACCTGCCACACAGCCAGCCAGCAAGCACAGAGAGAAGTGACCGAGTGAAGTGACAAGTGAAGTGGTAGGAAGGAATAGGTGAGGCGATGCAGTAAACTGGCAGATTGCAGGTTACACAGGTAACCTGAAGGTAGGACTCGGACAGCAAAGGGGCGCACCAGCCGTTCAAACACTGTGACGTGATAACAGCCTCTTGAGTCGACTCAAAAGTTAAACAGGTAACATTAAGCAAGGAAGGTGAAGGAGCGCACCAGCCGTTCAAGCACTGCGACGTGATAACAGCTTCTTTGCCAAAGAACTTCTCCGGGGTCCGTTTATTGCCCTGCACACAATAGAGAGAATCATCAGCATCTCTTTTGCAATGCACTGAATCCAACAAGCAGCACAACAATCGCAGGACAAACTTCTTACCTTGATCAAGACCTTTTCATCTACAGAGAATGGGAACTGCACTCCTCTCAGTCTGCCTCCGCCTTCAGCATCAGGAGAGCCTAGCTGCGCCGAGTCGTCAGGCTGTAGGAAAACACGCAGCAAATAGTTCAGTGCTTCAGTACTTCCCCAAAAGGACGAGAAGAAAACATAAAAAACGCATCAGAATACAAAACAACCAAGAAGTTTAGCAGCAAAAGAGCGAGCGAACCAGCTTGGAGCGGCACTTGACTGGTTGAGGTGTAGAGCCATCCATCACCAGCAGGCCCTCCCAGTGCTGCTCTCTGATGCGGTAGGTATATTATGAACTTCTCGACAAGCACCAACAACTGCGAGGGCGCACCTTGGGGCGGCGGCGCTTGACTGGTTGCGGCATGGAGCCATCCGGCAGCAGCTTGCCCTAGCCGTGCTGCTCCCTGTCGCGCTTCCTCTCGGGGGCAATAATTGAGGCGCCGAAAAAATAGCCAAAACATCAATAGCAAGAGGGAGAGGGCGCACCTTGGGGCGGCGCTTGACTGGGTGAGGAGTGGAGCCATCCAGCAGCAGCTTGCCCTCCCCGTGGTGCTCCTTCTCGCGCTTCCTCTTGGGGGCCTTCACGCCCAGCCCTGTGTGGTGCGACGGGCCCTTTCCAAAGCACGATGCCACCGACCTCACCGCTGCAGCCACAGCACACAGGTTTGGATGGGGCTTAG